GCGACCCTGGCCCAGACGGGAAGCTGTGGCTCTTGCACAAGAAGTGCTTCACGATTGACAGGCGCCAGTCAGACGGAGTGCTCGTGGCCGACGCAAAGCAGAAGGTGCCCATCTGTGCAGGGTGTCACGGCGCGCTCACCAAGAGGTTGCCCACGATGCCGACCTGCGCGCTGGCCAACGACCTCTGGATCGGGCGGCTGCCACTGCCGCTGCGGAATCTCACGCTGGGCGCGAAGCTTCTGCTGCCCATCGCGCGGGGCATCGTGCGGCGGTTCAACTGCAAGGCCGATTCTGGCGAGTGGGCTCCAATCGACCAGAAGATCAAGGCGTACGTGGGGAACTTCGTGGCGTTCCCGCAGGCGGACGGCGGTCGGCAGGTGCTGTCGCTGCCGCCGCGGGAGAGCGACCTCGTCGAGTTCGTGCAGATTGTCTTCGCGGGGTCCGACCCCGCCACCCTGCAGAAGGCGCTATTGGAGGAGCTCGGCGTGCCCCTCGCCGATTTCAGGCGCGCTTACGAGTACCTCCGCGACACGAACGACCAGTACGCGGCGGTGCGGTGGGACGAGGAGGCCGCGCGAAACTTTGCGGACTCCGGGGGCGACGGCGATGGCGACGGCTCCTCGCTCCTGGGCCTGCCTCGCTGTCTCGCGGCGTGCGTGGCCGTGGGGGGTAAGGGCGGCGACGCTCGCCAGGAGGGCCCGGCCGATGCCGTGCAGCCCGGCGCGGGCTCGGCCCCGCCGATGCGGGCGAGTGCAGGCGCTGCGAGCGCGGAGGGCGAAGCGAACGCGGCGGCTGACGGCGGGGGCGAGGCAGGGGGCTGGGGCGGGGACCCCGCCGGTGAGGACGCTGCGGGCGCTGGCGGGGAGGACTCAGAGGGCGACGAGGGCAAGGCTGGTGAGGGAGGGGGCGGCGAGGGTGTCGAAGAGGGCGAGTACTGCGCCGCAGTCGCGGACTCCGACATGCTGGCCGATCTGGACAAGCAGTGGCAGAACGTGCACCTCAGCCTCCAGAGGGCGGAGGTGATTGTGCGCGAGAAGCAGCGCGCGGAGGCACTAACGCGGCAGTGCGACGGCATGGAGAATTTCCAGGACCGAGATTCCGACCGGCGCTTGGCGGAGGCTGCGAAAGAGGCCCACAAGGCTGCGAAGTTGCTCACCAACTGCAAGAAGGAGGCACTCGCGAAGAAGCTGGAGCAGACGGAGCAGAATATTCAGGCCACGCGGCCTCCTCCGGGAGTTGCCGGGAAGAGCGCGGCCGGCGGCGGCGGCGGCGGCGGCGCGCCGGACGGGGGCGCTGAGGGCGGGGGGGCGAGGCGTGCGGTCCGGGTCGTCGTGCCCACTGGAACCGAGCCTGTCAGCATGTTCTCCCCTGGCTTCTGGAGTGCTTTCGACCCCGTCGCGTTTCCGTACGGCGACGGCGTCTTCGGACTCGAGAGGGAGGCGAAGTTGACGTACGACGAGTGGTGCAGGTGCCTCATGGCTCGCGAGGAGCTCGAGTACGAGGTCGCCGACGACGTCTCGGCACCCGACGCTGCGCGGGCGCCCGCCGCGTCTGACTCGCCCGTGCCGCGCTGGCGTCGCCACGCTGACCTGCTCACGGCCCAGTATTGCCTCTGGCGCAGGAAGGCTATCATTCAGTCGGCCAGGTTATTCGTGCGCAAGCAGCGCCTGGGGGAGTACATCGCGGACCTCGCCGCACTGACGCCAGAGGAGCTGGCGCAGGTCGTGGCCGTGCTCGGCAGGGGGGCGGGCATCAAGGAGGCCCTGGGCCACAAGGGCGTGCCCCGGAACGTCAAGAGCGCGCTGCGCAGCATGCTGCTCCAAGGGCTCCCTCGAGGCTGCGAAGTTATTCGCGCTTCGCGCTTCGCGGTCTGGGCGGCGTCAGAGCGAGGCGCGAAGTTATTCGCGCTTCGCGCTTCGCGGTCTGAGCCGACGACGGTTTCCAGAGCGAAGGTAGACGCGCCTCGCATCGTAGTTTGGATAAGGTTTTGGTCGTGGGGCCAGTGATTTAGGATAAGGTTTCCGTGGCGGGCCCTCGGCGTTCGGATAAGGTTTCGCGCAGGGCCCAAGGAATCAGGATTAGGTTTTCGCGCGGAGCCCCTGGAGTCTGGGTATGGTTTGGGTAGGGTGCCAGTGAGTTAGGATAAGGTTTTCGTAGCAGGCACTGGGCGTTAGGATAAGGTTTTCGCGCTGGGCCCAAGGAATTCGGAGCAGGTTTTCGCACGGACCACCTGGAGTTTGGGTATCGTCTTCGGATGGGGTGCCAGTGAGTTAGGATAAGGTTTCCGTAGCGGACCCCGGAAGGTAGGATAAGGTTTCCGTGCAGGGCCCAAGGAATTTGGATCTGGTCGTCGCACGGACCACCTGGAGTTTGGGTATCGTCTTCGGATGGGGTGCCAGTGAGTTAGGATAAGGTTTCCGTAGCGGGCCCCGGAAGTTAGGATAAGGTTTCCGTGCAGGGCCCAAGGAATTTGGATTAGGTCTTCGCGCGGAGCCCAAGGAGTATGGATAAGGTTTTGCTCGTGGGGCCAGTGATTTAGGATAAGGTTTCCGTGGCGGGCCCTCGGCGTTAGGATAAGGTTTCGTGCAGGGCCCAAGGAATCAGGATTAGGTTTTCGCGCGGAGCCCCTGGGGTCTGGGTATGGTTTGGGTAGGGTGCCAGTGAGTTAGGATAAGGTTTTCGTAGCTGCCCTTGGGCGTTAGGATAAGGTTTTCGCGCTGGGCCCAAGGAATTCGGAGTAGGTTTTCGCACGGACCACCTGGAGTTTGGGTATCGTCTTCGGACGGGGTGCCAGTGAGTTAGGATAAGGTTTCCGTAGCGGGCTCCGGAAGTTAGGATATGGTTTCCGTGCAGGGCCCAAGGAATTTGGATTAGGTCTTCGCGCGGAACCTAAGGAGTTTGGATAAGGTTTTGGTCGTGGGGCCAGTGATTTAGGATAAGGTTTCCGTGGCGGGCCCTCGGCGTTAGGATAAGGTTTCGCGCAGGGCCCAAGGAATCAGGATTAGGTTTTCGCGCGGAGCCCCTGGAGTCTGGGTATGGTTTGGGTAGGGTGCGAGTGAGTTAGGATAAGGTTTTCGTAGCAGGCCCTGGGCGTTAGGATAAGGTTTTCGCGCTGGGCCCAAGGAATTCGGAGTAGGTTTTCGCGCGGACCACCTGGAGTTTGGGTATCGTCTTCGGATGGGGTGCCAGTGAGTTAGGATAAGGTTTCCGTAGCGGGCCCCGGAAGGTAGGATAAGGTTTCCGTGCAGGGCCCAAGGATTTTGAATTAGGTCGTCGCACGGACCACCTGGAGTTTGGGTATCGTCTTCGGATGGGGTGCCAGTGAGTTAGGATAAGGTTTCCGTAGCGGGCCCCGGAAGGTAGGATAAGGTTTCCGTGCAGGGCCCAAGGAATTTGGATTAGGTCTTCGCGCGGAACCTAAGGAGTTTGGATAAGGTTTTGGTCGTGGGGCCAGTGATTTAGGATAAGGTTTCCGTGGCGGGCCCTCGGCGTTAGGATAAGGTTTCGCGCAGGGCCCAAGGAATCAGGATTAGGTTTTCGCGCGGAGCCCCTGGAGTCTGGGTATGGTTTGGGTAGGGTGCGAGTGAGTTAGGATAAGGTTTTCGTAGCAGGCCCTGGGCGTTCGGATAAGGTTTTCGCGCTGGGCCCAAGGAATTCGGAGTAGGTTTTCGCACGGACCACCTGGAGTGTGGGTATCGTCTTCGGATGGGGTGCCAGTGAGTTAGGATAAGGTTTCCGTAGCGGGCCTCGGAAGTTAGGATAAGGTTTCCGTGCAGGGCCCAAGGAACTTGGATTAGGTCTTCGCGCGGGGCCCAAGGAGTTTGGATAAGGTTTTGGTCGTGGGGCCAGTGATTTAGGACAAGGTTTCCGTGGCGGGCCCTCGGCGTTAGGATAAGGTTTTCGTGCAGGGCCCAAGGAATCAGGATTAGGTTTTCGCGCGGAGCCCCTGGGAGCTGGATAAGGTTTTCGTAGTGGGGCCAGTGAGTTAGGATAAGGTTTTCGTATAGTGGCCCAGGAGTTAGGATAAGGCTTTCGTGCGGAGCCCAAGGAATTCGGAGTAGGTTTTCGCGCGGAGCCTCTGGCACTTGGATAAGGATTTCCTTAGTGGGGCCAGTGAGTCAGGATACGGTTTTCGTAGAGTGGCCCAGGGATTAGGATAAGGCTTTCGCGTGGAACCCAAGGAATTCTGAGTAGGTTTTCGCGCGGAGACTTTGGAGTCTGGATGAGGTTGTCGTATGGGGGGCTATTGAGTTAGGATAGGGGTTTCGCGGCGGGCCCTGCGAGTAGGATAAGGTTTTCGCCTGGGGGCTTCTGTGGGCCAGTCTTGGGGGGTCTTTTTGGGCCTTCTTGGGCCGTCTTGCGGCCGTCTTGGGCCGTCTTGGGGCTCTCTTGGGCCGTCTTGTGGCCCGCTTGGCCGTCTAGGGGTCTCTTGGGGCCGTCTTGGGGTCGTCTTGGGCCGTCGATCGTCGTTGGGGTCATGGACTCTTCTGTGGGTCTTCTCGGGGTTATGGGGTACTATGTGTGAGGCCTGGTGTTGCTTAGGGAGTATCCGTGGCGGGTCTTCGCAGCCAGCAGAAATCAGATCTGGACCATGTGTTACTGCAGGTGGTACTGCAGGCACCGCTCTTCGGTCCCTGCCGCTTCCGCCCCTCATGCCCCAACCGCACTCCTCCCTATCATTCTCCCCCACTCCCTCCCACTAGGTAGCACACAGTCTCTCCCTCTCCCACCCTCCCAATCCTTCCCGCTCCCTCCCATTCCCATGAGAGTAGCTCGCAGTCCCTCCCGGTTCTTCCCTGTCACTCCCTACCACGCGCTCCCACTCCGACCCATTCCCCTCTCTTCCCGTTGGGTGGGAGGGAAGGGGATGGAAGGAGGCGCGTGCGCCTTTCCGCAGCCATTTTGGCGCAACTCATGTTTCCCAGCTTGCGCGGGAATCCAGTGTGGGAGAGAGCGTGGGCTTCGCACGGGGCCCTTTCTTTAGACCCCCTTGCTTCCAGAGCTTGGGGTTTCGATCACATGTTGGGCGAGGAGGGTGATAACCCGGCCCTTTGCGCCCGCAGCCAGTACGACATAGATGAGCACAGGGATGCATGCCAGGGATGCTCTGCCTGCGCTCTCATACCAGCCACTTGGATTCTGGATGGCCTGCAAGGTGTGGACCCCGACGTACTGGCGAGCAGATCCCGCGTGAACAGCACCGTCTACTCTGGCGTGCAAGCGTGGGACTGCTGGGAGGGCGATCGATCGGGGGGCGGCCTCGCAGAGAGCATCGTTGATAAGTTGAGCAATGGGAGGGGTCTTTCGATTCACGTCGAAAGCGAGACTGTATTGCAGGCGGACCGTTGTCATCTTACAATGTTGCTAGAGAAGTTCCGGGACAACGCCATGTTGGGCGCCATCCTCACAATTCCGGACGAGGGCCCGCGTGACGGGGAAAAGGAGCACACGGGCAAATCATGCGGGGTGTTTCGCCACGCCGGAGGGTACGCGCTGATGGACTCGCACAGGCATGACATCGATGGCCAGGCGGGCCGCGGAGCAAACTGGGAACGCGCGCGATGTCAGACCAGCGTTCCAAATCAGTTTTCCCCGAAGCGAATGGTGGTCCCGCTCCTTCTTGGGTTCCGCGCTTGTGGACACCCAGAACTCACGGGGAGTGCACTTTGGCACGTGCTGCGTTCCTGGTTCTCGGCGGCCCAGGTGGCTGGGACCCTCATATACACGTGCAAAGAGGCATCCGAGGTGGCAGAGTTCGTCTTCGCACCCTCTGGGCTTTTATGCATGATGAAGTGCGACCCGAATCACGTTGACGTTGCGGTGGCCATTGACATTCAAGATATCATCCGGGCGAACGATGGCCTGTCGATTGTTCAGGCAGTGGCCCCGTTCTACCCGAGGCTCGGACACGCACCCCCCGACTGCGACCTCACCCCAGGCGATTTTCCCAAGGACCATTATCAGCACGACCTCCTTCGCCAGTTCCTCGTCTACGGCGTGAAGATTAGCAGCCTCCAGGATTACATGTTCGAGAAGCAGCCGTCGGGCAACGAGCTCTCCGACCTCGTCCCGTGGGCGATTGACGGGCTCTTGTACGGCCCGCGCGACGCCGTGGCTGTGGCACACCACGGGGACATAGCGTACGCGACAGGTCCACTTCCTGTTTTGACGCAGGCGGGCATCGTCACGAAGCACAAGCCGTTTCCGGGCGCCGCAGCGCTGCCGCTGCCCAGGCAGGAGCGATTTGTCGCCATGGACCCCACGAAGTGCCTGCGCGACATCCAGGCCGCGATCGCGTCGAGGTGGCCGGATGGCGCGCCCGTGGCCTTCAAGACAGGCGTGGAGGCTGTGATGTTCCAGCGGGGCTTAGCCGACGTGTTCCGCGGGTGCCTGCAGCAGGCGTTGAACTACATCCCCGCATGGCACGCCCGGAAGATAACATGGTCGCGCCTCGGCGGCCTCAAAGAGCCGGCAGATTCACGAGGCTTGCGCCGCTTCCGCTACCAGGGGCCCGCAGGGTGCCAAAAAGCCACGCCAGCAGGGCCTTTTGTAACGGGGCCCCGCCATCGCGCTGGCCGTGCTGGCGGGGCCCCATTAGTAGGCTCCGTTTGCTTCATTGCTTGCGTTGCATTGCCCCGGGTGCTTTTTCCGCACGCGGTTTTGGAACATGACATGTTGCTTAGAGCGCCATCGTCCATGGGGCTTTCCACACGCATGGCGGCCACCAGGGGCCTTCGGATTTCTATTCGGCTCGCGTGGAGGATCTCGTGCGCGCCAGCCCGGATTCCAAGGTGGGTCTGTCGCTCTTGCCGCAGCGCATGCGACTGTCAACGCTATGCTCGGCGTTCGGCCACATCCACCCGATGCTGTTCAGCCTCGCCTACTGCCAGTGGACGAACCTCGGCGTGGGCGCGGAGTGGGCGAGGGAGCATGGCACGGCCCTCAGCCAGGCCGCGAAATCGTTCATCCGGGAGAACGGCTTCGCTCCGCGCCCGAAGCTCCCGGTCAAGCTCTTCAAGGCCGTCCCAGAGGAGCAGGGCCACCCCCGCGAGCAGGGCGAGCAGGAGGAGGGCCACGACCGCGACCAGGAGGGGGGCGCAGAGCCTCCGCCAAAGCGGGCCCGCGTTGAGCCCGGGGACGAGTTTGACGAGGAAGAGGCGGAGTGCGGCGACGCAGTGGACATCCTCCATAGGTTGTGGGAGTTCCAGGACGCGCAGCTCGGGCTTGTGGAGAAGGAGGAGTTCATGCCCGCCCACGTCATGCAGGAGCGGCAGGCTCACCTAGTCGCCATGCTGGCGAAGGCCAGGGCGCGCAAAGTGTGCGGAATTCAGAAGCCAAGCCGGTTTGCTACGCAGGCAGGCCGCGAGGAGTGGCGCGGTTTGACTTGCTGGTATTGTAGGAACCGGGAGCCCCGGCGCGAGGGCGCACTCGCGAGCTTAGAGCTCCGAGTGCACATGGAGCTGGCAGAGGCCAGGGATGCCATCGCGCGCGCTGGCGTGTACAATCCCAGGCAGCACCCGCTCATCAATCGGATTTTAAGGGCCACCACCGCGCCTGGATCAGGCCAAGGATTCCGCGGCAAGGCAGCCGAGGGCGAGGCTTTTTTAGTCGGCCAGTTGTGTCGCACTCGCGCCAGGCTCTCGAGGGAGGCGACCCTGGCGCGGTGCGCCCCCGCCATCGATGAGGCCCTGGAGCGCCTGGGCGCGAAGTAGGTGCCGTGGCGCGAAGTAGGTTGTGGGCTGGTTGGTTTATTATTCCCAGGGAAGTTGGACGCAGCCGTGCAGCTCTCGCGCCGAAGGCAGCGGGACACCGCCAAAGACCGCCGGAAGTCGCCGAATACCGTCAGAGGACGTCAGAAGACCGCCGAAGACCGCCCGAAGACCGCTGGAGACCGCCGAAGACCGCCGAAGACGGCCCAGGAGCCATGGGCAACAGGGGGCCCATGGTCGAACACGCAGCATCTGGGGGACCTTTGGAAGGCGCATCTTGAAGGTTGAGAGCATGACCACCCCCCACCCTGCCGAGTCCATTCGCGAGCGGCTCTCTTGTGGCAGGGTCTGGCGCCGGTGGCTCCGGGCCACCTTCATTGAGAGGTGCCCTGCCGCATTGGAGACCCATGCCAAGGAGCACCCTGCTTGCCTCCAGGGTGCCCTGATTTTCTTGGGTTTCGATGCTCTTGCCACGGACATTGATGGGCGTCCTGGGGTCTCAGGGTTGAGCTTCTTGTGGAAGGCTTCTCGTGGACTGGCCTCCACTGTATCTGAGGGGTGCCCTGTAGAGGAGTACGCGCTGGAGATCAGGGAGGGAAGCCCTCGAAGGTTGAGAGTGCAGGCCTCTCAGACGGGGTCTTCGGTAGCCAATCATGACAGACTCGTGGGCCCTCGCAACAACCGCCCTTCGTCGGGTGCATTTGCGTGCGCTGGCGTCTGGCAGTCGAGGGGAAAGTACCAGTTTGGCGTCGATTAGCGTCGATTTAGCGTGCCATGTCCGTCCCCGAAGATATGCACGTGCGGAAGTTTTCGGAGGTCCCCGCGGGGCGCTGGGCCTCCCTGATGGCGCCTCCAGGCGCCGCTCCCCGCGGACCCTCCGCGCGCCAGGCGGGGAGGGTTGCAGGGCCGATGCGGGGGAGGTCCGCCCGGGCCTCCGACTCTTCCTCCTTCTTCTCCTCCTCCTCCTCCTCCTCCTCCTCCTCCTCCTCTTCCTCCTCATCCTCCTCCTCCTCCTCCTCCTCCTCCTCCTTTTCCTCCTCGTCATCTTTCGCCGCGGCGCATTTTAGGCTATTTTATGTTGCATAGGCTCGAAGGCAAGTGCCGCTCCATGAGGCGCAGAGGCGATTTCCAAGTTTCCCCGCGGCCTCGATGCCTGGTCCCCCCCCAGTCGCAGGGTCGGCATCTGCGGCGCCAGTGCCTCCAGCCGCGGGGTCTGGTCATGGCGAAGGCGTCGCTGTGGAGGTCGTCGACTTGGGTGCGCCACCAGCTCCCGCAGCCCCGGCGGCGCCAAGTCCTCGAGCCGCAGGGCCTGCTCTTGGCGTGGCCGCTGCGTTGGACGTCGTCGAAGCGGCCGCGCCTGCAGCCGCGGCAGTGACCCCGTCGAAGCGGAAGACGCCATGTTCAGGTTCACAGAGCAAGGTGTGGCAAGTCGTGCATCTCACAGGGCGGCATCGCCAGGACGCGGACGGGAAACAGGAGTCCCAGGTACGATGGTTATTCCACAGCTGCCCATGCCCAGAGTTTTGGGAGAGGAAGCGCGCAGTGTCCCGTTGTTGGGCCCATCTGAAGAAATATCATGGCTTAAAGCCGGAGGAGTTGAGCGCCATCGTCGCGGATGGGAACATAGAGGCCGTCTTGAACGAGGGCAGAGGAGGCACGCCCAAGAAACGCGCCAGGAAGTCTAGTGCGACGGAGCCTCTTCCCCAGCCTCCAAGATCGCTCTGCGTCGCCATCACCCCCTTGAGCAGCGTCCAGGCCAAGCTGACGGCGAGCTTCGCGCGGAACCTCTGCGTGATGGCAGGGGTGCCTGTGGCAGGCTCCCTGCCCCGGGGGCCAGGTTGGCAAGCTTTCTTTCGAGATTATTCGAATCTTACCGGAGCGAAACTCGTGTGGGAGGGGCCCGCCAAAACGAGTTGCTGCAGTGTCTTGGAGAGGGACACCCAGGCGATGTGGAGCAAGCTCCGGGAGGAATGGGCGCAGAGGTCAACCGAGTTGGAGGGCGTGCTCTGCCACGACGCGTGGGAGGACCCCTGGCATCGCACCCTCATCGGGACCATGCTTTGCTATCTATGCCCTCAAGGAGCGGCGCCGCATCGGGTTCAATCGATCGATCCCCTGGTCCCCTCCCCGCCCCCGTCCTGTGAAAACGGGGGCAGGGACTCCTTTCTGTGGCTTGGGCTTGCCTTAGGACTGCCGCGCTGCGTGCTGCTGGGCTTGGAAGAGGGGGTCCGCTTCGCCTCGGACGGCAACGGCCCGAAGTCTGCTTTGGCGTGCAGGGACGCGATGCTGTCGTCTTTCCGAACGTGCCTCCACCCACAGGAGAGATACCTGTCGTCCTTGGAGAAGGCGCCGCCCATGGTGAAATCGGACAACACAGGCTCCGCGGTGAAGGTCGCCCATGACGCCAGCTGCCGGGCATCATCCCGTTGTGCAGTCCACATCCTGATGATCCCTGTGCGTCGCATCTGTTTCGTCAGAGACGCAGATCGGAGGTCCAAGCCCCCGCGCGAGGTTGGGCCTGCGGACGTGGCGCCCGGGCTCGTGGGCGCGCTGGAGCAGCTCAGGGCTTGTGCCCTCCGGATGCAGGACCAGGACGTGGGACAGATGTGGCGCACTCTCCATCCTGGGAGTCTAGGCCGCAGAAGCTTGCACGTGGATTCTTCGTCGAACTGGCATTCGACGCTGGGCCTGGGGGCTCGCGCAGTGAAGTTGCGCTACGACCTCGCCGCGCTGAGCACGAAGGTCGAGTTGCCGGATCTCCCGCAGCCTGGCGGGTGGGATCTCGTCGACGCTAACAACGAGGTTCTGCAGCACCTCAAGTCGTGTTCTTCCGTTCTGGAGACCGAGGACGCACGAGCTGCGCAAATATTGCCGGTGATGACGGTGTTTTTCAACGAGCTGGCCAGCCTGCGTGAGGGCGCGCGGAAGCCTCTTGAGGTCATGGTGGACTTGTACATCGAGGATCGGCGGCGTGGCAGATTGGGGTGGCGCCCGCCTATCGCACGTCCACCCCCCTCGCCCCCCTCCCGTTCACGGGGCGGGGGCCGAGGGGGGGGCGGGGCCCGCAGGGCCCGCTGGGCGGGCCGGCGGGCTCCGCGGCTCCAGGAGATGCGCCGCGCCATCGATGCGCACTACAAGGTCCCCTTCTACCGGGCCGTCGTCGGCGAGCCAGGGCCGCTGGTGCGTCGGTTCCGGCAGGTGTGCGAGTTCACTGGTGTGGACACGTACCACCAGTTCTTGAAACTAGCGGCGTTTGCCGCCCTCGGGCCTTCCGACGCGCGCGACCTCGGCGGCCCCGTCCTCCGAATTGGCTTCGAGCGATGGTGCTTCCACGTCCGGTTCCCGGACGAGCCGTTCGCGGCGGCGTCGGGCGCCGCTGCCGCCGGGGCGGGCCCCGCCGCGGGCCCTGCGGGGGCGCCGGGCGCCGCTGCCGCTGCGGGTTCGGCGGAAGCGCCAGGCGCCGCTGCCGCCGGCCAGCCGCGGCGTTTGAAGGAGATCCATGCCGCTCGAACGGGATGGAGGTAGATGGGGTCGGTGGATCGAGCCGCCGCGTCGGCGACGCGGCCGGGCGCGGCGTCGGCCTCCAGAATCTCGGGGCCGACGCCGCCGATGCATCGCCGACATCGCCAGCGCGATTCGGCTCGATCCACCATAGCCCCCGTTTACTTGGACCCCATGTGGGCGGCCCGCAGGAGACGGTCCAGGGCAGGCGGGCCGTGCTGGCGCAGTTGGGCCCGGGGCCCCCCAGGGAGGGCGCGGACCCCCAGATTGAGCAGCCCCGCCAGCGGGTGGCGGCCCAGGTGCGCGCGTTCATAGACGCAGGGGACAAGCCCGGGGCGGCTTGCCCTCGCGCACTTTGCTCGTGGTGGCAGGACCAAGGGCGGAAGCGATACCCAGATTTGGTTCCAGGCGTGAGGGTCTTGCTCGCAGACCCTGCCGGCAATCCCCCACTGGAGCGCACGTTCGGCAGGGCCAAGGGGAACTTGACGCCGGGGCGGAAGACGTCTGGCCTTGGCACAGTCGTCCTGCGGCACAACGCCCCAGCCTTCGGTTTACCAGGGTACCCCGAGCCCCGGGCCAGCCGGGGGGGCGCGTCGGCCAGCGACGACGAGTCCGCGGACAGCGTCGGGGACGATTGAGAGACGGGGCCCGCCGCTAGGCAGGTTGAGCGGCGCCCGCCGCTCGGGGCATGCGCCGTACCTGCGGCCAGGGGCCTCCGAGGAGGCGGCCGCCAGATCGGCGCGGCGGGAGGCGCTTCCGAGGAGGCAGCCGCCCTTTTTCGCCCGGCAGCGTCAGGGGGCAGCGCCAGCATGCCCCAGAGAAACAGGACGCGCGAGGATCCGCGTGTTGATCAGGAGAGTCAAGTGAAACAGGGGTAGCCTATTTGGGCCTGGCGGTCCGCTTGGGGTCTGATTGGGGGCGTTGCGGCGCACTCGCGGGGGAGCCTCGGGGGCGTCTGCGAGGCTCTTGGGGCCGTCCTGGAGGGGATAGCTCGATGTGTAAGTGCGTGTTCCCCTTCTGGTGCCATCTTGGGGTTCTGCTGGGTTGTCTTGGGTGCCCCGGGCCGATTTCTGGCATTGTTAGGCCGTCTCAGGGCCACCTCCTGGGCCGTTTCGGGGCCACCCTGGGGGGGGGCCTGGGCCGTCCTGGACGCTTCTAAGACGAAAAAAGCACTCAGGGCTTCTTCTTACTTTACGGCGTGGGCTTGCCCCGAGGCCGGACCCTTAGGCCTGCCCGAGGCTTGCCCTGTTGCCCAAACCTAAATCGTCCTCCTGAGGTCATCCTTATCGTTTATCCCATGGCCCTACCCCAAAGTACTTCCCCTGGGGCCCAGGCCTTACACTTGGGATTACCTGAGGATTACCCCTATGCTGTACCCCGAGGCTTACCCTAGGCTTACCTCAGGCTCTACCCCATGGCATACCCCTAGGCCGTACCCCAAGGCGTTAGCCCGAGGCATATTATATTCGTAAGGCTCACCCCCAGGGCTACCTCTTAC